CTCCCTTTCAAGACTCCCTCTTTGTCTTTGTCTTTTGACAGGTTGCTTTTGATATGTTTCAGTGTGGATATTTGAATTTGTGCTCCCATAGTTTGTTGAGCTTCTGGGATGTATAGATTTATGCCTTTCATCAAATTTGGGCAAGTTTCAGCCATTATTTCCTCAAATATTCTTTCTACCTTTTTCTCTGTTTCCTTTTCCTTTTGGGATTCCCATAATGCCTATGATATGGTTGATGGTATCCTATAGATCTCTGAGTCTCTTCATAATCTTTCAGTCATTTTTATTTATGTTCCTCAGATTACATACTCTTAATTCCTCTATCTTCATGTTTGCTGATTTTTCTGCATGTTGAAATCTCTTATTGAAACTTCTCTAGTAAAATTTTCATTTAAGTTCTTGTATTTTTCAACTTTAGAATTTCTATTGAGCTCATTATAATTTATAATTTCTATATTTTTATTAATATTTCTATTTTTACTTTCCTTTAGTTCTTTAGACATAAGTTTCCTTTAAAAGTTCTTTGAATATATTTAAAATAGGTAATTTAAAGTATTCATCTAGTAATTCCAATGTTTGGCCTTCCCTAGGGATATTTATCTATCGGTTGATCACTCCCCCCATATATGAGCAATGCTCTCTTTGCATGTCTTATAATTTTTTTGTAGAAAATTGAACATATTGTATTAAAATAATATAATGTGTCAACTCTGGTAATCAGATTCTCCCCTTTCCCTAGGATTTTCTGTGGTTTGTTGTTTTTCTTCACTGAACAAATTCTGTAAAGCCTACATTCTTTGTCAGTTATGGCCACCTAAGTTTCTACTTGGTTAGTTTAGTGGTCAGCTGATGACTGGAGAGAAACTTCCTTAAGTTACTGGAACCAATAAATCTCCCAGTGTTTGCTGAGGGTGTCTCTGTGCATTTTGAGGCACAGCTTCAACATTTAGGCAGATAGTTTACAATTCTGCCTTAGACTTCACCTCCTCCTTGCACAGAAGCCTTAAGGTAATCCAGAGTCGAGAGTACAGGGCCATTCAGATCTTTCCTGAGCATGTGCACAGCCTGGGAATGTGTGCAGCCCTACACATGCTTGTGGCTTTCTTAGTTCCCAGGAGGATATTACAGATTTTCAAAGCCCCCATGGAAATCTTACTCCCCTGCTTTTCCCTTTTAAGTTTTCAGTTAGCCTATTGCCTTACCCAACCTTAGGCAGCTGCAAAGTTAAACAACTGCCTGTAATTGTTTTTGGCAGATACCCCCAGGGAAAAGACTTCTTACACTGAGTGAACTCCCATTCAGGTTAAATAAACACAACTTTACCAGCAGGGTCTTCAGGGAATTAACAGAAAAGTCAGATAATGACAATTCTCTTGGAATAAAGGAGCTCCACCCCATTCTGCTTCCTCCAGTGGCTACCAGGCTGCTGGCTTTCACTGTGATTGTGAGCTGTCAGTTTTCAGGGTTACTGTGGATCTGGAAGAGAAGGAAGTTAAAATTCTACAAAGCTCACTGTTCTTACTGAGATTCAGATATTTTTCTTGAAAAAAACATTACCCAGATTGCTGTAGACCATTGGTTAGTTTCTAGCATTCTGAAAATATTGATTCTGACAATTGTTGTGAGTTTTCTCATTGCTTTTATGGAGAAAGGAATTTTTGGAGGTTCTACCTCTGCCATTTTTGCTGATATCACCCTCTCCTTCACTGAATCTTGATGTATCTTTTATGAAACATGAGGCCAAATTAGGAAGGCAATAAATTAAGTGCCAATACCCCTCTTCATGTGTAGGAAGGAGAATGTTAAGAGGTTCTGCATAGGTTAAGAAGTTTCAAGTTCAGTCTTTTCTGAAGTTTGCACTAACTTTCATTGGTGCAAGAATTGGGACAGAGGAGAGGAATCAGGGCGCAGCTAGCTACTGGGGTTCAGCATGATAATTTCCACCTTGCTTATCTACCACATCCTCCTATGTAAACCATGCTCCTATGCAATTATATTATATTCTTGTCTCTCCATCTTCCTCTTTAGCTTCTTTGTGGCTAGTCTTTCCATGGCAGAGACTGCATCATTACCTTGAGAGAATCTGCCCAAGGACAGCTGTGTCTGAAAGGCTTTCCTGCCACATGCAGAAAGGAAAGCTAATTAGAGGGAAGTGTGGATTTAACTGTTTGTATCTATGAAATGGCAGGTTCATATTCTCTAATCCTTTCATAAAACAGTTTCTAGGTGAATAGAAATAAGCAGAATGTATTTAGTTTCTTTTCTTTATTCTTATTTCTTTAGTCCTTTTACATACAAGCACACGTCTCCCACTACAACCAAGTTGGAATAGGCAGTTGAGTATATATTAAGTCAATAAATTGTCTGATAAACCCAGTTAATTTAATTCTTTAAGCAAGGATGTAATAAGCACCTATTACAGGCTGGCCATGTGATTAAATTTTTGCTGTCATTCTCCCAGAATTCCAGAACTCTCTCATTCCTTCTATATTCTGGTTGTGAACCATGAACTGTGGAATTAGCATTATTTTTATTGCCCCTTAATTCATCCATAAACTAAATGATCCAGATGTCACACAAAATAGTCAGTATTGTTCCTCTCTCTGTCTTTCTCATTCTGCTTTTTTATTTCTCTCTCACACACAGTGAAATGGAAATACTACACAACCAAACCAAGGAATGTTAAGTGAATTTTTTTTTTAAGCTCATACCACTTCCTAGTATGAGACAGGACACACTAAAGAATGGCCATCAGTTATTTCTTTCTCTTCTTCACTGGCTTTGTTCACCATGCCGAAATATGTTCAGACATAATTTGAGATATTGAGATTGTGGGGGAAATTCTCCTCTTGAAATATTTCACCTCTACATCAAACATTAATATGTGTAAGGTATCATTTTCAAAAATATTTAATCAATTTACTGTGCAGAGTTCAGAATGTTTGGTTTAGTATTGAAGGTAGATAGATTGCCAAGGCTGGCCTATTTACTATGTCACCTGTTTCCTCTTTGTACATAAGCAGACATATTTCTGCATGTGGCCTGATACTCCCAGTTAATGTGGGGGACAGTGGGAACACTGACAGCTGCCCAGAACTGCTGCAGGGGTGGACGGCTGGATGCAGGTGCACAGACTGTCTCAATTTGACAGGCTTTAAGGCTTGCATTATGTCTAGTGATATCTGATATCCTATCCAATGAGGTCCTTAAAGACAACAGAAGCAACACAGTTATACATATTCACCAAGGCATATAGCACCATAGCATTCACTCAGATCTGTGTGGATAAAGCATCCACAATGTGTTATTTTTGTGATCTGTTTGATCATAGTGTCACAGCAGCTTAGAAATTAAATCATGCACCTGACATTATGATACTCTGTTAGCTGCGTGGTTTTCTTTTTACCTGCACTCTGTATACTACACAAAGATTAAAGCTCTAAAGTTTTCAGACCAATTTCTTGCCAGAGGAGTGTAAAGGACAGGTAGTAACTGCTGGATGAATTTTTTTTTCTGGTTACCTTTTGAAGCTATAGAATGTTCATGTGCCTTGATTTGGAGAAGCTATCCTCAGTGTCCATCGATTTGGGACTAATTCCGTTTTGCCACTAACTAATTAGACCGTAGACCAGTCACTTGACTTTTCTGAATCTCCATTTCCCTGGTTTTAATTGAATTAATATTCCCTTCCCTGGAAGTTATCACAAGATGGTTTGGAGAATGAAATAATAAAATTTCATGTAAAAGTACTTTTGAAATGACTGTTGGTTGGCAAGAGCTAACACTTACCTCTCCTCTCTGCCAGGTTCTAACCTATAGAATGAAGCATTACTAGTCAAATGGGGCTCAAAGTGTCAACTTTTTAGGCTAACATGTAGCCAACAGAATCTAGGCATCTGAGAAATACAGATTGGAGACCTGAGGCCAACATTGGGCCCCTCCCTCTTAGACCAAATATTAATACAAACCTCTGTAGTTGCAAAGTGAACCGACTGTGCTGTGTAGCCTTACTGTCCACCTACTTCAAATTCAAGGACCACTTCTGGAAGGCAGGAGAAACTGGAGCACCGAGAGAACAGCCAGCCTCTCCACTAACAACAGGCCCTCCAAGGTGCGTTAGTACTCAGAGACAGAAAGTGCAGAGGCGTAGACCAGAATAGGAGAGGGGTCTTACTGCAAGAGCACAGGAACGTCAGAAAGAACTAGATGTCAAGCCGCAAATGAGCAGCGCCCTGTGATCCCACCGAGTTGGGAAATAGGCCCTCGTGGGAAGTGAGGCTTTCACCAAACAGGTTAGCACCTCCCCTTCCTCTGGGAAGGAACAAGTGAAGGCAGAAAGAGACTGGGGGTGTTGACTTCAGCATTTTCCAGAAGGAGGTCAGGAGTTTCCCCCTCTATGCGTGGATTTATGAGGGAAAGAAAGAGTCCCTCTCCCACCCAACCATGGCAATGAGGTATACAAATGGATTAGGGTTTGCTTTAATTGGTTATATAGAGTACATTAGAGGTCGCTTAAATAGTCCCTTCATTTTACAGGAAGAAGGGACCAAAGACAGGTTGGTGACTGGCTTGGCTAGTTTATGTCAACTGACTAATTTTTAGAAAGAGGAGTTGATCCAGAAAACAGGACCCTGCCCAAGGGAGTAGAACTTTGGTGGGGGGACATGGATTGCCGGAGAGCAGCAAGAGAATGCTGGATCCTCTGGGGAGTAGGGGGTGTGCTCTTCAACCAGAGAGGGGGTGGCAGAATGGATATAGAGGTGATGATCATAATTATGTTTAAAGTCATTTTCTGTAAATATTAAATTATACCTATGGTTGAGACAAGATAAAATCAAGTCATGAGCATAGTTTAAATTGTGTAAAGAAGAAATACATATTTCTTTCTCACTGCCTTTTGAAGGCTCATTTTTTTCTGTGTAGTATTTACCCTCCAGTTATTATGATGGAAACAATACTCAGGGTTCCATTTGGGAACCACCACTCTCAGTCCACATGGTCAAGAAGGGGCTGACCCACTCCTAAGGCTAGTGGGTGGGCACCCTTTTACTAGTCCTCTTGGAAATGAAAGTTCCCTTTGCTGGAGAGTTTGCAGCTGAGATGATATGATATTGACTTAGAGCTGTGGTTGGCTCTAAGTCATCTCATCTTGTCACCATAAGGAATGAGTTGGCTGGAGAATAGAGCCAGCCCAGAGTAAAGTGAAGCTGACAGATGAAGAGAAAAATATGTTTTGTGATATTGTTGAGCATCTTAATCAGCATGCCCAAGGTCAGCCTCAACCACAATTTTCAGTTCTTCCTCCTCTCTCTTATTTATTCACCTAAATATATCTGAACCTGAATAATAAATCAGAAATCCATATCCATTTATCGAAAGTCAGAAGACTTTTCTATTTTCCACAATATTTTTTGCCCACGAGTCTCTTTAAGCTCATAGTTTGGTAATATCATGGTAGAAAGTTTGTTTTTCTTTTTTACAATTCTTATTGCTATATAACTGACTACCCCAAAGCTGTGCGGCTTATAATGACAATTATTTTATCATATGATGCTGTCTGAGAAATTTGACCAGCGAATAGCTGGATAGTTTTTCTTCTCCACATGTCATCAACTGGGGTCACTTGGAACCATTCAGCTAGTTGCTGGCCTGGTCTGCATAGTCCAACATGGCTTATGTGTGGCATCTTGGTGGCAGTGTCTAGAAGGCTGGGTTCAACTGGGGCACTTTCCAATTTAGTCTCAGGGCTTCTCCACATGTTCTTTCTTGGTGGCTCAGGACTTCACAAGCGATTATTTCAAGACTTGGGTGTCTCGGGTGTAAGTTGCAAGACTTCTTATAACCTAGACTCAGAAGTCCCAGGATATCATTTCCGCCTCATTCTATCAGTTCAGCAAGTTCCTAAAGCCAACCCACATTTAAGGGGTAAAGGAATTCTACAACTCAAATCCGTCTTTCAATGAGACAAGTAGCAAGCAAGATTTGTGGCCATCTTTAATCTATTACAAGGTGATAACGGTGCAGTTGAAAGAGCTTGAGCTTTGGGGTTAAACCAGGGATGGGAAACCTGCAGCCTTAAGGCCACATGTGTGGCCTTAGTGTGGCCTTAGTGTTGCCTAAGTGTGACCTTGTGACTGAATCCAAATATTACAAAACAAATCCTTTTATTTTTATTAATGGGTTTTTGTTCGTCTGTTATATTTCTACTTTATTTTAAACTACCAAAGAATAATATAAGTTTCAACAAAATAATCCTCCCAGATTGACTGGCACGATTAGAACATTAGTCAGCCATAAGGGCTAAATTAACAGCTGCTATGCTCATGATTTAGTTCTAACTTCCCCTGCCTGACTGGCGCCACTAGCACACGAGGCTGATTGGCGAGAGTTTATGGGGCTGATTACACCAGTCTGTTATCAGCTTTTGACAGTGGTGCACTGTGTTTCTGTTTGAAGTGGAATTTTTGAAAACTTGCATTGCTCAGTAGTATTTTTAAATTCTGTCTGCTTAACAGCCAATCATGTCAAGGAAGACCAAGAGAACTCTGAAAGAAGAAAACGGATTTTTTGATGAGGATTGGGAATTGCAATATTATCTTGTTTCTGCTAAAGGTAAGATGATTTGCTTGCTTTGTGATATTGCAATATCAACATTAAAGAAATTCAGTGCTTATCAGCATTATAACACCAATATTTTAAATTAGGGGGAGAGGTGTGAAACATTAAATTGCAGAAATTAAAAGATGAAAAGCAAAAGCAAATACAATTCTTTCAAGCATCAATAAGACCTAGAAATAATGCCACTGAAATATTATAAAGTAGCTTTATATACTTGGGGGGGAAAGGGAAGCTGTTCAGTGATGTAGAAATTGTGAAAGAACGCATTGTTGAAGGTGTAGGATGTTTAAACCCTAATAACATTTCAAAGTCCAAACAATTGACTCTTTGAAGGAGAATCATAACCATAACAGATTGGCAGCATGAATTAGCCATCCACTTAACAAAACTACTTCATGCAATACTTCAGAAGGTGAATCAACTCATACTATTGACTCAGCGCAGGTTTTTCACTTCATTTGGGTCATAACAGAAGATTTTCTTTGCTATGAAGAGTTACTTGCTTTGGGCATGCTTATGAACAGAACAAGGGGAATAGATATCTTCAACAACTTTCAAGACAAATGCTGTGAAGTTGGACTGAATTTGATAAATTTAGTGAGTGTATGTATAGATGGTGTGCCTTCCACGACAGGAAAACATGAAAGGTTTATTGCACAGATAAAAAAAAAAAGTATTAACAGATCCAGATGCTCTCATTTCTTTTCATTGTATCTTGCATCAGCAAAATTTCTGTGCTAAAGGTTCTATTTTAAGTAACACTTTGCAACAAGTTATAAATGCTGTTAACTATATTTGTGCAAATGCAACATGGCACCATCAGTTTTGTAACATGCTAAAGTTGAACCATGAGGTATTCAGTGTGGATTTATCATATCATTCTAAAGTGCATGGGCTATCACAGAGGACATGTTAGCCAAAATTTTATCGCTGTGAGAATACACAGTTAAATTTTATGAAAAACAGAATCAACAATGTGAATTATTGAAAGATTTCTGTAGGAATGCAGCATTTCTGTGTAATATCAAGTCAAATTAAAATGACTTGAATATTTCTTTACAAGGTAAAACTAAGTCTATATATGATATGTGGCAAAAAATTAAAATTAAAATTAACAAAGTTTTTATTTTTTAAAATTAAGTACATGGTGATTAGATTTATTAAAAATAATGTACATTTTTAAGTATATCTAATTTCCTGAATGTGGCCTTATTTGATTACAGCTAAATTAATGTGGTCTTCCAACATGAAAAGGTTCCCCACCTCTGGGTTAGACAGACCTGTCTACAAAGGGCTTTGTTAGTCCCTTGCTGGGATTACTTCACCTCAATTTGTGAAATGGGGGATGATGAAAGCTCTCTCATAGAGTTTTGAGAATCGTATGAAATAATTTGTGTGAAGTGCCCTAAGAACAGTAGATAAGTTCCCTTTCTGCCAAGAGTAGGGTCCTTCTCAATTGTAACAGATTATTAAATGTTCTGAGATTTATGTCTCCATCTGTTGACTGTCACTGTGGGGAGGCATTTTGGGTGGTCAAAAACAAATTCATGAACTCTAGCTGCCTCCTCCTGGTTTCAGAGATAACGTTATTGCCGTTAATAATTTTCAGATTGTTGAAGACACTACCAATCTGCCTGGGGCCAGAATCATTTGTTTTGCAGAGGAATAGTGTCATCAAAAAGTGATAAATTCAGGATCATTCTGCAAGACTGTAGTTCTCTTTCAGGGAAGGTTTCTCAGTTCACTATTGCCCTTCCTAAAGACTAGACCCAGATCAGAGCTGAGTACAGTTCAGCCATGGGGTCTCACGGTAGAGCAGTAGAAAATCCAGTTGAGAGCTTCACAATCCATATGCGTTGAAGTCTTATCGATGACATCTGGGATCTCCAGTTAGCCTTAGAATTCCCTTGGAACTGACTTCCGTGCAAAGAGGTTGTTCTACATTTGTGAAGTCTCTTCCTCTTGAGCCACAAACCCCTTTCCCTTTATGTCATTCTAATCATAATAAATTGGCAGTACATGCTGGCTGCCTGGAATGGAAATAAATTGTATGGTTCTAGCATAATGGGAAAAAAGAGGAGACACACATAATACTCAGAATTACTAGACTCTGGAAACCATTATTGTTATATCCACAGCCAACTCTGTGGGTTTGCACTTGGCACATGAATTCCTATGTGTTATTGCTGAAAGTTATGTGCAAAGGGTTTTATTAATAAATTATGAGTCTTCTATGGCATAAAGCTTAATATTTTGCTCAGTGTTTTGCATATAATTGCTAAAGATTGTCCTGAGTAGTAGTATATGGGTCTTGTCATTGCTCTTCAGTTGTTTGAGAAAATTAGTGGCTTTTAAATACTTCCCATTTAAAGTTTTGTAAAGTAGTCATCCTTTTATTTTCTTTTATTGTCTCTTAAGATATTTATGTTTTTACTTCTTTAAGTCATCTCATGTTGCAATACTGAGGCAATCTGGAATGTGCGTTGCAAATTCTGCCCAGAGCAGCCGGCCAGCTGGGAGCCCTGCACGGATACCACGCTCCACTGCTGTGGGAAAATAGAAGCCCTCTCACCACTAATGACTCCTATAGATTCAATAAATTCAAAGAGAAAACATATATATTTTAATTGTAGCTATTGAAATCGCACTGTGTATTCTTTTAAAGAAGATGTTTCAACTCAAATATTTGGATGAAACAAGAGAAAGAAAGATGATAAATTATTATTTTAAAAATTGAGGTAATGCCAATTTGATCCACGACAGATTAAACAAGGTATTACCTATCTATCTTACTTGAAATTTTAAGATTAATTTAGGTGAAAATAAGAAGCTTTAGGAAGGCATATATTAGGCTGAACATAAATACTCGTTTATTTACCCACTGCTATATTAACACATTATTTTTCTTATAATTCAGGCATTAAACTAAATTTCTAGGAAGGAAAAAAATTAGATTTTGTTTTATATCATTAAGTGCTTCACAGTCACTGTCAAGCCATTTGAACCGTGTTTCCTCCAGTGATGTATGGATCGAGTAAGATCTCCTCTTATTCTCTTACATGAAAACATTCATTGGGTAATATTTGTACTGTGCCTTGAATTCCTCCAAAATATACACATTGCTCCCCAAATTCAAGTAAATTTGCTAAATAAGCCTCATGTAACACACACAATAAAACAATTTCCCTTCATAATTACTTTAAAGCAATATAATTATGGAATATATAATGAGTCCTCATAACTAAAATACATTCCCCCACTTCCATTTGGTCAATTTTCCAACTTTCCATTTATTTTCTTTGTTTGGGTACATTTTATCACACAGACATAATAAACATCTATACACTAATGAAAAGACAGTCATACTGAACCAAATAAAGCAAGCAAAGGAAAGAATTAGCAGAGAAAATGCATGGTGTTTTATGGATGAGATGGCATATCATACCTCACATTATCATAACTCACACAGACTTCTTACTTTTTAAATGAGTGACAATAGTAAATCTGGAAAACATCTGCCTTGAAAAAGAATACTAACTGCTCTCAACTTAAAAAATGTTGCTCGGCTATTACTGTATAGCAGCCATGCGTATCATATTGTGGTATGAGATGTCTTGGTTGCAAGAAATTAATATTCTCATGTTTGATTTCAAATTGTCTAGAACCAGATCCCAGCATAATTCAAATCATTGTGAAGCCACAGTTGGAATAAAGAACACGATTTACTGTTAGCAAATCTTCAATAGTGCTACTCAATTTCCCACGATCATTATGACTTGAAGTTTAGCAAACTATTACATAATTTTGTGCCATCTAAAAAGAAAATCTGCCATATGAAAAGAAAAGGGAAAATAGAAAGGGAAAAGAAAAAGGGAAAATAACCACTCATTTTTATAGCTGACCTTTTCAACTGGGAATCATGTTTTGGCTACACAATGAAAATATATTCTTTGAATCTCATTATCACCATATAGGCAGCTCCGTCAACATTCCCACCTGTGTTTATATCATGGATAAGTATATTCTCCCTTTTCTTTCATTACCAATTGATAGGGATCTGAAAGATGACACTTTAGAAGAAGGAAAAAAAGTAATTCCAGTATCAACTTTTATATTACATCTAACTCCATAACTTTTCTAAGTAGGTCTGAAAGTTAAAAATAGCTGTTCATTCATTTTTATTTCTCATTAAAGTGGGAGGTCATATCATAGTAGATAAACTGCTTTTTCACTTGGAATACATGTTCTCATTGTATTAGTACTATATTGTTACTTTCTAAACAGTTGCAAAAGCATGGAGTTTGGGGAAATGTTAATAATTTCTTTCCCGGCTTGGAAGATAAATTTGGTCATGGAAAAGAATTCATTTCTGGACTATCTCAGACATTTGTCATCATCTTTATATTTTTTATTTTTTTATTTCAGCAGTGATGCATTATTAGTACAGAGTGTGAAAATTTTCATTCAAGAGTGACTGTATCCAGGACATTATCTAATAGAACAGCTGGTACCCTTGTTCAGATTGACCCTGAACCATAGAAAAGTTTGCAGTCCTGGTAGTCTTTTGACTTGTCTTTGTTATAAAGAGAGCAGGGTCTGAATGATTTATTTTGACCATTTAGCTCATCTATTGTTATGTTTGATGAAATAATTCACATAAGATAGAGTTTTTCCACATACCAACTGGGCTGAGTTTTAAGTTACGCTTTTGGTTTAACCTAATTTTTTAACTATCCAAAATGCTTTCAAATTGTGCAGTTCATTATTTTATTTACGTCTCTGTTTTTAGATAATTCTGTTTAGCTCAAAGCATGAACAGATTTGAATTTTTAATCTTGTTAGTTCCAGAAGACAAACCTCACAGTACAAAGAGAACTAAGCCAAGTTTGATGGTAGCTTGTGAATATTTCTGACTCTGAACAGGATCATATACTGTTTATAGTTGTATTTTGCATGCAGGTGCGTTGTGGGAAAGCAACCCACCACTGAAAGCC